CAGAGGTGGTGGCAGAGGAAGGAGAGTCCTGGAACTGTGATATGGAAACACACATACCAGATAATTATCTAATGATGAAGTTAAACTTCTGGGTTATATTTTGAATTTTGATGTGTCAACTTTTTATTATGCCTTCTCAAATCCAGAACAGGATGCTGCTTTCTCTTATTCTAAACTAATAACACACGAGAAAGGAACCTTTTTAGTCCTAAATACATGCAGAAGTAAAATTTCTTCTGTTGCTATCTTGCGAGAGAAATGCTCAAAAAAACACAGACAAAAGAGATCCGAGTGTTATGAGTAGCACAGAATCAGACAAAAACCTCCAAATGTTGAATAGGCATGTCCCAGTATATTGAACAGACTTGTCTCAGTATGGAACAGTTTATAAGCTTAAGGAATGCAAGGATTTCAGCTTGAAAGAGTCATTGTTTAGGCTCTGTGGTAGTATACAGATAAAGATATTTACAGAGAAAATATCTTTCTGATATTGTTTGATGGAGGAAAGGGTATCATGTTAGTGACAGGATTTCTCCCCAGTTCTCTGGATACAAAGCAGCTTGGTTCAGAGGCATCCATCAGAGGTCATCATTAATCTTTGTAGTAATAAGATCCAGGCCCTTTAAAATAGCTGGCTGTTAGCTGAAGATCTGCCATCACACTGAAAACTTTCAACTCTGGAGTTAGGAGGAAACAGATTAGATTTGTTGTATCAGAAGCGTGGGGAGAAACTGTTAGTAGAACTCTAAAACTAGACTGCATCAAGAATTTAGGATAACTTATGAAGTGCTAATAAGCCAGGAGTGTTATGTCATTTTTCAAATTCTCAGTTGAAGACTCACTAATTATTTATGTCCACGCACAAAGCACAACTCATTTTCCAGGAACTGTTTCCTGCTGTTGCAGAGCTAAGAGGCAAAACAATTCTGTTCCTATAGATATTACCTTCCTATGCAAGAGCAGCTGATCCAGGTATTTATATCAGTTGGTCCAAAAAAAGCCCTCTTTATAATAGGGAGCCTCAAACACGTTAGAACACTGATAAAAGTTATCAGTTTGTGTGAAATTATATCTCTTTAGCAAAGGAACCATAAGGTTTAGCCATTCACCGAAGTCCACAATTCTCTCCCCTTCCCCACAGTGTCCCCTGGACAAAAACAAGTAATGATTACAACAACAAAACAAGTGATCAATATGAACACATACTCAGTCAGATTTGCAACCACAACCAACACAACAGCTCACACAGTGATGAGAAGAAGAAAGCCACAAAAACCTCCTTTAAGACAAAAATTACTGTCAATGGGGGCTTTAGGATTCACATACAGCCCACACTGGGATGCTGTCCAGTGGGCACGATCCTGGGGCTTCAGAAAAGCAGCAACATCAGAACCCACTGATACGTCTTATAATATTTAGGTCTAAGTGAATTCTTACAAAAATCTCCTCATCGACAAAGCTGCCTATATGTGCACCCTCTGAGAATACAGAATTACTTCTGGACTCTGTCAAAACACCTAAACTCTACTCAGTTCCAAGACAAAACTTCATGCAAAACACCCTTGTGACACCAGCTCTGAAGGAATATTAACACCCGTACATAAACGTTGGTTCCAGCTGCTAGAACACATGCCTCCTTGGTATCAGAACAGGGGGCAAAAAAGCTGACACTGAGAACATGGCTAGCATCAGTGGCAGGGAGCAGGCTTGAAGCAGCTATTTTAATGAGGCATCTTTGGTACCCCAGAGCAGGTTATACAGTGCTCAGAAGAATTCTGCAGCCTGAAGGACTTAGGTTGTTGCAAGGAGACTCCTATAATTGGATTTTATTATGACATCCTCCTGTAAGGACAGGAAGTCTCATTTCCCACAGGAATAACTGCAGCAAAGACTAAGGAAAAGCAATCACCCTATCTCAACTGCAAACTGAAACCATGTAATAATGCATGACTTAGTCCTGGACAACAGCAAAATACCAACCTTCCCTGCTGCAGAAAACTGTAAGAAACCAAATCTTCTCCTCTTCTCTTTTTTCGTTTTTTTGGTAAGGTTTTACCAACTTCTGTGGGATACAACATTCCACACTGTAAAGAGAGCTCATTTTTTTCCACAGAAATCACCACCTCACAAAGGAGGACCACATTTAAAGTAGTTGTTTACGATTATCTAGTGCTAATCCTAGCACTGATTTTCCCTTCAGGGAAAATATACTTCAATACTGAAAATGGTAACACCTAAAATTTAAAACTGAACTATTTCCTCAACTCCCACATCATTGCAGCAAAGAAATATGGGGACTTCTGCTTCACTGTCAGATCTAGGCAGAGAGGATGCAATAATTCAACTCACAGAATTCAAGGCTGATCTGCGGGATTACATACTTTAGAAAAAGTCTGTCTATATTCACATTAAAATTCAAGAAGTTACAGGAGATTCTGAAAACAAATCTTAAAAAAAAGGAATTCTTACAAATTTATAGACATTTATAAAGAGAAGTTAAGACACTAAAAACATTTAAGAAAGAGGAGTAAAATAAATTAAATTCTAAAGTAGTAAACTGACCTGTACTAACTCATCTTTTTGCATGATCAGAAGTTGTCTTAAAGTTGTATCTCCTTCCTGTATAAAACAAAGGGGTTTCTGCCATTAAAAAGAATTTCAGAAGAAAACACTATTTTCACTTAATTTTCTTCAGTTATGTTTTCCTTCATTTTCAGAAACAAAACCAGCTACACAACACTATTACTGAAGTAACAAAAGAGTTCTCCAGTTTAGAAACATCATGTTGTGACTAATGCACATAATCAAAATGAAGCATTCCAATCCAGTCCACTGCAGTTTAACTTAACGCCTTATATATAAACCTTGGTTTATTAAATTTATTTGAATTAATATACTAAGAGCAATACAACTTTTTTTTTATGCTGTAGGTACATTTTACTTACAAGGATTACATGAAAGCAGTCCATGATAGCCAAACAGCAAATACACCACAAACTTACCTTCAATAATCCTATTATGTGTTCTAGACCAATCCCATGTAAAAACACTTCCAGGTTGTCAAAAGTTGAAAAGGAACTGTAAATATAATTAATGAGATTTGAGATGAAAAGTGGAAACAAAAAAACCCCCAACAAAACAGATGACATTCAGAACAAAGTAGTACAGAAAAGCTCCCCAGACAACGCACTGAAGAGCAACCTAAAGTACACACCTGCTGGTCACAGTAGTACCTCACAAGCATCATGGGGTACAATTTAATCTACCAAAATTTTATAAATGGCTTTTCTGTCTTAATGAGTTGAATTGAGCATAAAGGGAATGATTTTCATAAACAAATGCCATTTTAAGCAGCAAAATGTTCCAGCTGAACCGTTGGGTTGCAAAAACCTGAAAAATTCGGAAGTGGGATTAAGGGAGATAACTATGTATTCTTGTCACATAACATTCATATAAATTGGATTCAGCCCACAACTGTTACCCTTCTGGTTCCCTTTAAACAAAAAACCAGGAATGTCTATAATTAAAGATAGTGGAAATTAGTCTGGCAAGAAATTTGTTGTCAGAAGACTACTGTTCAGAAGGTAGACAGGAAGAAGTATAACCCACTGTAGGTTCACAGTTTAATATTTATAAACAAAGGTAAAATATCAATTTTGATTCCCCACCCTACCAAAAGATATAAAAATATAAGGGGAAAAATATCTAAAGAGCTTTCAACACTCAGATGGACAACTGTAATGAACAGAATTTAGCCAAAAAGCAAATCATATGAAATGCAGAAAGTACTACTGCAATCACTGCAGTGAATCCTCTGCCAAAACCCTGAGTTAAGAGATAGTTTGCTCCATCTTATTGTAGGCCCTGAAGTGAAGGTTTGCTCCCTTTTCACATCAAAGGCTTAAAGAGCTCCTATTAAAATTTGTAAAAGAAAAAAGAAAAAAAAAAAAGGCAAACACCCCCCCTGCACACCACATCC